TAGCTCATCATTGAACTTGACCTGCCTGCAGACAAATGACGATGAGTTACAAACGGAAAAACAAAGCTAATATACCCTCCATACTATAGTGGCGGGTATAAAAAGAAATGCCCATTGGATGTCCTGCCTCCAAAGGTGTATTTTGAAGGTCCCAACAAAAGTAGTTTGTCTCTTCGGCTATTTAAAGAATTTTGTTTACATGGGCCTATTTTTTAATATGGTAGCCACATTTGTATACCTATGTGTCTGTAATTTGGTATTTAATTTTCTCAGAGAATAAAACCCTACTTGTAGACAATTTGCAATATACGTCCATGTGTTGACATAGCCCCATATTTGGTATACTTACCAACCAGAATTAACTCAACGACGTTCGGTTTAAAAATAGCTAGAAGTTTAGAGGAAATAGGAAATACTTAGGTGTGAACAGGAAAACGGAGTCCTTATGATGTTCATAAATTAAAGACCTGAGAAAAGGAGACTGGCTGTAGATAATTTTTTAACAGAATCACCAGAACCTCTTCCAGACCCATGTCCAGACATATCTCTCATATAATGAATATTTTACTTACTACAGAGGTGGCTTGAGCCAGTACAATTTTTCTATAAGCCGACGTTAAACAAATTTCAAGGCGCGTCAGTCTTGTGCGCATTTCTGATCTCTTTCACTTGATCTTTCCATCGAATTCGTGGCCTTCCCTTTCTGAGCGAATCATCATTTGGCTAACTTGTATATACCTTTTGAATTGAGGCATGCTCATCCATACTCAGAACATGACTAAGACACCGTAATCACTCCAGCTCGAACCGTCTGACTACGTCGATGTCCGAGAATAGATGTTACAACTCATGGTTCATCTGTTTGGGCATTACCATTGACCATATTTTCAATCCGTGCCAAATCCTGTAAAAGACCCACGAAAAACACATCGGCATATTCCAACTATTCGTCAACTATAAACCAGCACTCCATAGCCCTATTCGGTCTGAGGTGTTCAAAGTCATGTTTACGTACCGCATTCCTGCAAAATTAATACGGCTATGCAAGATAACTTTAACTGGCACAAGTTCAGCAGTTAAATTGGGAACGGACCTCTCGGAGTCTTTCAATACCGAACGAGGGTTCAGACAAGGTGATAGCCTCTCGTGTGATCTTTTTAAAATCCTCAGGTTATACGAGAGACAAATGTGAAGAGAACAGATTGAGAAGGAGTCTGTCAATGTGGCTCTTGCATTAAATGGCGACAAGACAAGATGATGGAATCAAAGCGGAAGACATCCAGAAGACTCGGAGGTAATTAAACAAAACCAATAACACCAGCTTTGATACCCTTCACATAGTCTCCTAACAGGCATCGCCTTTTCGAAAGAACATTGACATGAAATTGAACGAAAATACGAATCAGACGAAAATAAATATGGGAGCTATATCTAAAACTGAACCGATTTCCACGAAACTTAGCACACATCATTCTAGACTTACGCTATGTCAAATTTCGTGCATATCGAAAGATATTTAGGGACTTTGGCGCACCATTTACCTTAAATCGGACGAAGATATATTTGAGAGCTTTATATAAATCTGAACCTATTTCCAAGAAACTTAGCACACATAATTCTAGACTTATGTTAGTATGCTATGCCGAATTTCGTGCAAATCAAAAGATATTTAGGGACTTTGGCGCACCATTTACATTAAATCGGACGAAAATATATATGGGAAACATAGCACACATCATTCTAGACTTAAGTTAGTATGCTATGCCGTATTTCGTGCAAATCGAAAGATATGAAGGGACTTTGGCGCACCATTTACCCTTAATCGGACGAAGATATATAGACTTACCAGACTTAATTTAGTATGCTATGCCAAATTTGGTTCAAGTCGAAAAATATAGGGGGCCTTGGGTGCACCATTTACATTAAATCGGACGAAAATATGTATGGGAGCTCTATCTAAATCTGAACCGATTTCAAGAAAATTTAACACACAATTCAGTACACTATGCCAAATTTCGCTAAATATAAAGGATATATAGGGACTTTGGTGCACCATTTACATTAAATCGGACGAAAATATATATGAGAGCTATATCTAAATCTGAACCGATTTTTTCCAATTTTAATAGCGTTCGTCCTTGGGCCAAATAAATGAGCTGTGCCGAATATAAATCGAGCTGCAGCGACTACATTGGCTAGATCATGTTATGAGAATGGATGAGGATGCCCCAGTTTAAAAGGCATATGAAAGCGAGCCAACTTCAAGGGGAAGGAAGGCCAAGAATTCGAGGTAAGATCAAGTGGAAGACAACATTTCTGAACAAGGTCTTTTAAATTGTAAGAGCTGTGCACAAGACCGACTGGTCTGGAAATATTTTTATACCCTTCACCACACTGTGGTACAGGGTATTATGTCTTTGTGCATATGTTTGTAACAGGCAAAAGGAAACGAGATAGACAAATGGTTCCTTTTGAGAATATGCATAGAATCACTTTCTGAGTCGATTTACGCATGTCCGTCCGTCTGTCCGTCCACATATTTTTGTGAACAAAGTACAGGTCGCATTTATTTGGCCCAAGGACGAACCCTATTGAAATTGGGAAAAATCGGTTTAGATATAGCTCCCATATATATTTTCGTCCGATTTAATGTAAATGGTGCACCAAAGTCCCTTTATATCTTTCGATTTGCACGAAATTTGGCACAGCGTAATGAATTAGGCCTAGAATGATGTGTGCTGAGTTTCATTAAAATCGGTTCAGATTTAGATATAGCTCCCATATGTAGTTTCGTCCGATTTTATGTAAATGGTCCACCAAAGTCCCTATACATCTTAAATCGGTTCAGATTTAGATATAGCTCCCATATATAGCTTCGTCCAATTTTACGTAAATGGTGCACCAAAGTCCCTAAATATCATTCGATTTGCACGAAATTTGGCACAACGTAATGAATTAGGCCTAGAATGATGTGTGCTGAGTTTCGTTAAAATCGGTTCAGATTTAGATATAGCTCCCATATATAGTTTCGTCCGATTTTATGTAAATGGTGCACCAAAGTCCCTATATATCTTTCGATTTGCACGGAATTTGGCACAACGTAATGAATGAAGTATAGAATGATGTGTGTTAAGTTTCCTGAAAATCGGTTCAGATTTAGATATAGCTCCCATATATATTTTCGTCCGATTAAATGTAATTGGTCCACCAAATTCCACTATATATCTTTCGATTTGCACGAAATTTAGCATAGCGTATTCAATTAAGTCTATTATGATGTGTGCTAAGTTTCGTGAAAATCCGTTCAGATTTAGATATAGCTCCCATATGTATTTTCGTCCGGTTTTAAGTAAATGGTCCACCAAAGTCCCTATATATCTTTCGATTTACACGAAATTAAGCATATCGTATTCAATTAAGTATAGAATGATGTGTGCTAAGTTTCGTGAAATTCGGTTCAGATTTAGATATAGCTCCCATATATAGTTTCGTCCGATTTTACGTAAATGGTGTACCAAAGACCCTTAATATCTTTCGGTTTGCACGAAATTTGGCACAGCGTAATGAACTAGGTCTAGAATGATGTGTGTTAAATTTCCTGAAATCGTTGAAATCAGTTCAGATTTAGATATAGCTTCTATATCTGACCAAATGAAAAAATTAGTATAGGTTGCAGAATGACATGTTTATGGATCCAATTTCATTTTACTGGTCCTTTAAAAATGAGACGTCTGTTAGGATTCATCTGTTGAATATACCCAAAGTTGTGAAGGGTATCATATAGTCGGTCCCGTCCGAATTTACTACTTTCCTTACTGGTTTAAGCTCGGCTTATGGAACAAATATTCCGTCACAAACCAGCTAAGTAAATAAAAGGTGTATGAAGTTATATTTATATCGATTCCGTTTGACAATCGGTCGATATAGGTCATATATATTTTTGACCGATTAGAGACCAAAAACCCTATGCCTGACCGATTGACATGTATATGGGTGACATGCATATGTATATATATGGTCCCCCCAAGAATTTTCGATTGTCCGATCGAAATGATATTGTACAAATACATCCACAATTTTTAGAGTGTAACATTTGTTAAGCTTGGTTTAACTTGGTATATTTGTGCTTGTAGTTAAAAAAAATCTTAGGAGAATCTCTTGGTTGTAATCACAGTGGCTTAGGTTACAATATATTCGACCCAGTTCGACTTAGGTGCTTTTATTACTCTTTAAGATCCTAACTAACCTTATAATTTGGTACACACTTATCCCGACTGATTTTAGGTATTTGAAATGTCCTCCTCATCTCGACGCGGATAATTTAAAATTTCGTTAAATTTTAGTAAAGATACCAACAAATCCCACTTGCTGTACAGCAAGTGGCAACACTAATATATATATATATATATATATATATATATTTCATTTAGTTCATAAGAAAACGCAGAACGATGAGTAACCCAATATTGTTGATTAAGAGAATGCGAATGAGCGAAGTACACGCCATGATAAGCAATACTATGAACTGTGTGTAGATTTCTGAGTAAATGAGATTTTGAATAAAAATACAACAAATCGATCGTCGGCTACTCAGTCCGATACAGAGCGGAGCAACTAGACTACTTGAGTTCTTTTTCATATATTATCCGTGGAACCAGTTTCACAGCTAGTCAGACACATTTTGTACGCGTTGAAGAGAGGATATAAACGTTAAGTGGACGTATTATTTTTTTTGGAACGGAATTATATATTGAAAAGAAATATTTTCATATGCCATAAGCTTTGAAAGCAAATAAAGAAGAAGAAAAAAAAAGAACCAAAGAAAAAGAAGTGATAAACAAGAAGAAACAAATATTACTTTGTAGAGAGAAATATAAAAAGGAAATTGTGAATTTGTTGAACAAAGAAGTGGAATAAATTGATATTTTTGTAATTTTTACAAAAACTAAAAAAAAGAAGTGAAAAGAATTTGATCCAAAAACAACAAGAACAACAAAAATCCAAAAAACAAAATGGAAAGTGTAGAGAATAAAACTGCCACCGGAAATGGCAACGCTGCCGTTGTTGAAGCTAAAGATACCCAAAATCTGTTGCCACATTTGGAATCATTGGAACGTATTATTAAATTGCCAGTAGTTGGTGCTGCCTGGGATAAATCTCAAGATGTCTATGGCAAAGTTAAAGGTAGGTAACCAAGCAAGCAAACAACCAACTTCACTCGTTGCAGTGAGTGAAATTAAAAAAAAAATGAAGAAGAAGCAGAAGAGAAAATGACAAATGAGTTCCAAACACACAAAATGGCAAAAATTATTGGAGTTAGAAACTTCATCATCGACCATAACAACAATGTAACAGACACACACACACCAAGTTCAATGAACTGTCATTCTAACGTTCTCAATATTTCTCTGACATATGTGTAAGCCTGTATGTGTGTTGTATATTAACTATCTTGGAGAAACCTTGAGAGATTCTAAAGACCTCAAGAAAAATAAAAAAACGGTTTTTATATATGTACATACTTGTAAGAAAAATAAATGTCACTTGCATTATGTAAAACAACCTCCGCAGCAGCAGCAACAACAACATGTTGTAAACAACTGTCATTCGGTTGGTGTTGTAAAGCCGATCGTTTTTTTCTGTATGCAAATTAACCGTAATTATTATTACTTCGTTCAGCCAGCCACACCATATTGCCAATTGATGGTAAGGCCAAGACATGAAATTCGCTCAAAATGCTTTCGGGGTGAAGCCATGTTTGTTTTTTGTAGGTCGGTCGACATACGGTCTGAAACGAACATTTTGGCATGTGGTTTTCTTTTATTTTTTGTAGTTGTTATTGTTGTTGCGTGCGGTTTTTCATGGCGGCTTTAAATTATGTGATTCAGAAACGGTGGAAAGGGAGGGGATTACTTACAAAAATAACATTGAGAATTTTTAAAGTTAGTTTCCCCTAAAAAATAGTTCTAGGGATCCTGACAACAGCGATTTTTGGTGTTTTTCTCAGAAAAAACATATCTGAGAAATACAGCTCCAGAGTTCATATGGGGCTCTTGAAGTTTCCCATATTTTTTTTTAAGTCACTAAGGCATTATGGGTATTAATTTGAAGGGATAGAGAACTCCACTATAATTTTTCTAAAATACTCAAAATATTCACGATTGGGCGCTACTATTAAATGGTTTCTATGTCCAAAACATGGATCTATATTAATCGTTTTCTATATATATATGTCGGCCATTGAGGACTTTTTACATCAAATTACAGTCACAACGGAGAGGAAATGCGCCCAAAATTTCAAAACACCAAAAATTGGGACCTATACCAAAACATAATCCGTTATAGCTATTATTTGATTGATGATAGCTTGACAAAATCAAATTTGAGCCAGTTGGACCAATATGTTGTTAGGGAGACCCAAAAATGGTAGCCACCAGTATATGTGGCCTACCCGGAATGTTGGACCAATATGTTGTTAGGGAGATTTTTCTACTTAAAGAGAATCCTAAATATAAAAAATTTGGTCGGAACACATCCCAACCTCTCCAAAATACTAAAATGAACGATGTAGCGGTTAAATGGCGGATATCGTAAAGAGTGGACAAAAATTTATTATTATTATTAGGAAAATTTGCTATTTATTTAGGAATCAAAATATTCAACTACACCCGTTTAAAGTGAAAAATGTGCTCAAATCCCTAAAAATACAGAATATGAGGAGTAATTTAAAATAGGGGCTACCCTAAAACTTGGGTCAGTATTAATAATTTTTGGTACGGAGATGTGATATGCAATGAGAATATATATAGAACCAGTGAACGGAGCAGTATAGTCGGACGGGACCGACCATATGATACCCTACACAACTTCCATGACAATCTAATTTTCTATGGTTCGATATTCTGAGCTTGGGCAATATTTAGCGATATTTGTACCCCCTTGACCGACTAGACGTCTACAAATATTACTAATATTCAGTACAGCTCTTCTAATTACTTGTCCAGATCCCCTTCACCGTGGGTTGTGTTGTGATGTCCGGCTTTCAATAGTGGCCTATAAATCGGCGCATAAAAAAACACAAAAAATTAAGTTTTCGGGTCACTTCATCCAAATATTATTATCTGATCATCACCGGAAATTATAGGCGTCGTCCATGACCATACCTGGATCCTCATGGAAAATTTCAAAGCGATCCGCGATATATTTCAGCCCTCTAGTGTGGTAATGCGTTACTAAATAATATATGAATACGTAAGGACATGTAAATATTTAAGTGTAACTCCCACATCCGAGTACACACGACAATGCAATTGATATCAATGTAAAGGTAAACCACTCCTCTTGGATATACTATCAACTTCTCGGGTCTATGTTCTTCAGGAGTAAATATATACGCCATAGAATACAAATTTTGTCATTTTCCACACAAAAGCCTGGGTCCATTTGACCCGCTAAATATTGCCCAATCTTTGTCAAGATAGGCATGCTTATTCTTTGGCCCGATCCCCTTCTCAATGCAAAAATTCGCGGTGTTTGGATCATAATTGCGGCCCCTGGAGCGACCAGAAAAACCGACAAAAATAAAGTTTTTGGTCCATTTCATCCCCTAAATATTAACCGATCTTTTCCAAAAACAATAGGGGTCTTAATAAGCCAGAACCCATCCTACATGCAAAATTTCGTGAAGATTGGTTCATAACTGTGGCCTGTATTGTGTTTAAAAAATATAATGGACAAACGGACAGACGGACGGACACACATGTCTAGATCGACTCAGCTAGTGGATATATGACGATCGGTATACTTAAAGGTGGATCTAGGACTAATATTTCGTGGCGTTACAAACTTTTGGGGCTGCACAAATCTATAATACCCTGACAACATAGTTGTGTAGGGTATAAATACCAAATAATAGAAAATTCGGCGAAAAAAACTTGTCCAAAATCCCCTAAATACCGAATATTGGGGGTAACGTTATATGGGAGCTACACTGAAACTTGGGTCAATATTAATAATTTTTAGTATAGAGCTGTTATATGCAATTATAATCCAAAATAACAAATTAAAGCCAATTCGGTGGAATAATGGGTCCAAAATCTCCTTATTACCCCTATTGGCGGGGGCTGTTATATGGAGATCATCCTGAAAATTGAGTCAATATTAATAATTTTTGGTACTGGTATGTGTCATTCAATGAGAACCCAAAATGCCATATTACAGCCAATTAGGTTGAAAACTATGCCCAAAATCCCCTAAATAACGAATATAGGGGGTAACGTTATATGGGAGCTACCCTGAAAGTCCAATATTAATAATTTTTGGTGTCGACATGTGCTATACAATGAAAATTGAGTCAATATTAATGATTTTTTGTACGGATATGTGTCATTCAATGCGAACCCAAAATACCAAATTACAGCCAATTGGTTTGAAAACTATGCCCAATAAGGGGAGTAACGTTATATGAGAGCTACCCTGAAACTTGGGTCAATATTAATAATTTTTGGTATCGATATGCACTATACAATGCTAACCCAAAATACTAAATTACAGCCAATTGGGTTGAAAACCGTGTTCCAAATCCCAAAAAATATCGAATATTGGGGGTTGTGTGGGAGCTACTTCAAAACGTGGATCGAAATATCCCTTTTTAAATACCAAACATTCGAGGAGTAATAGCTATGTTTAGGCAAAATTCCAAAGCTCCATTATAAATATTAAAATATATTATTTTACAAATCCACGCCATGTGGTGGTCCTTATTTTTTTTTTTAAATCCACAACTTGTGTTGGTCCTTAAAATACTCTTTTCAAAATCCACGCCTTTTGGTGGTCCTTAAAAAATATTCTTTTAGAAATCACGCCTTGTTGTGGTCCTTGAAAATATTCTTTTAAAAATCCACGCCTGGTTGTGGTCATTAGATATATACTCAGGTGAACATTTCGAGGTCTTGCAAACGTAATGGCACTTTGTGGCATAAAAATGGATTTTGAAGTTTTGGTATTAATGAAAAAATTATACATAACAATATTTTCCAGAAACACCTTCACCTACCTTACACAGAGACCACACCCTATATCTCATCTAGTGTTTACCTATTGCCAACAAATTATAGTATATAGTTTGTTTTTTATTAATTACAATTAAGATTCATTGTAAAAAGAAAACACAACAACAACTACAATACAATTACATACATATTTAATAACAATAGTTTATATTCAGTTAGAGAATTTTCCATATGAATGAATGACTGGCTGACTGACTGAAAAATACACCCAAGAAAATTTTTTCTCACAATTTGTATGGCAGCCACTATCTTCTCATTTTTTGCCACACCTCCCTGCCCTACCTCCTGCTCGGGCCAATTATAATTGAAAACAATTAAATTTAATTGAAATTTAAATTCTCAACAATATGATGTCTGTAGTAGATGGAGGGAAAGAAAAATTCAGCAAATTGACTGATGGCGGCCAGTCAATGAAAAACAATACGAATCTGGAAGGGGACCAATTATTCGAAAATCAATAAAACGAAAGCTAAATGGCAAAAAACAACAACATATTGCCAATATTCAATAATACTAATAAATAATGTAAATAAAGAAGTGGGAACGTGGCAGGGGAAGCGTGTTGGAGGACAAAGAAAACCCAAACATTTATTGCTGGAATATTGATTTGTACGACCGACCGACCCATCCGGTAAATGCAAATAAGTTGTAATTTCCATAATTGATTTAAATTGAACACAAAATGAGAAAGATCGGCCATTTTCTGCATCCAGAGAAAGGGTTAAATAATTGATTTTTTTTACAAATTTTAATATTCAATAGATCTTCAGAATATATATTTTTTATAAATATTCTTTTAAAAATCCACACCTTGTAGTGGTCCCTAAAAAATATTCGTTTAAAAATCCACATCTTGTGGTGGTCATTACAAAAATATTCTTTTAAAAATCCACACCTTGTGGTGGTCCTTAAAAATTATTCTTTTAAAAATCTACATCTTGTGGTGATCATTACAAAAATATTCTTTTAAAAATCCACGCCTTGTGATGGTTCTTGAAAAAAATATTATTTTAAAAATCCACACCTTGTGGTGGCCCTTAAAAAATATTCTTTAAAAAATCCACACCTAGTGGAGGTCCTTGAAAAATATTCTTTTAAAAATCCACACCTAGT